GGAACTGTATGAAAGGGCCGCGGCATTAGGAAGGTTCCACCGCACTAGAAGATGATGCCACCAGAGCACAATGGAAGATACATTCTAAAGCTCAAATGAGAACATTCTTTGCCTCTCTCACTCCTTGACCCAAACCCTGATAAGAATCACAGAACAATGAGATGGATCAAGAACTCAGAGAAAACCCAGCCCAACTTTCTCCCCGGAGTAAAGGGCGCTGCAACATTTAGCCATGCTCTGGGAGCTCATACTTTGGAGGCAGCTGTTTTTGCTTTTGAATAATGTCATTATTCCTTCAAAAGTACACTCAAGCAGTTAAGAACACTGAGCAGAGCCAAACCTTGGCACGGCCACCACTCTTGGCAGTGGATCTTGATAATGTTACTTAACACTTCCGAGCCTCAGCTCCTTTACTGCTAGACTGGACAGATCAACAGCCCCCGTGTCAAAATGCTTGGCATCCTGCACGTACGACGCAGCACCATAAGTGCTGGTGATGATCATGACTGCCACGTTATATAAAGGAGTTCCCCATGTTGAGCTGGGCTGTGTCTTCCCTCTCCAGGTCTGCTCCTGAACCACGTCACAGAGCTTGTCTTCTTCCATAAGATAGGGCTTCTGAAAAATCTCAAGAGAATCACCTCCTCCCCTCTCTGTCCCTCTCCATCCCAACACCTTTCCTTCCGCAGCTGTGCAATTCCCGCCTCACTAAACCGCTCCTGTACTCTCTCCCTGCTATGACCGCTGCTTATGGTGACAGGGAGACCACAACCAGCATGAGGTACACAGCCATGCCTGAGAAGTCTGAGCCAGGCAGGGCTTTCCAGCTGTAGGGAAGGATGCAGCTGCCTTGTGGGGGGCTGAAGGAACCAGCTGTGTGGACTGGGGTGGAGGAACCACACCAGACTTTATCAGGAAAACCAGTCCCTGTGCACAAGGCAGGACTCAGCAGACAGCTCACCTGTCTGGTTTTCATCTGTACAAAGCAGCGGCTGCCTAACTTGGCCTCTAGATACTAGGCCCTCATTTCAGGTGAGGCCCTTTGAAATAGCCCACCCGGGTGGAGGATCTTATACTGAACACTTTGACATGCAACACTGAAATCATGTAGAAAGTGCATTTCTAAGCATTACTAAACACTTCTGAAACAGTCCTTGTTGTTTACACTCTTCCTTCCTTTCTTCACCCTCTGCTGTTTTTCTCTTAGCTTCTAGCAGAGCCAAAGGTAACAGAGGGACTGACTTGCTGGTTCTCCACCAACATAAACAGCTACTAAGTCAGGAAGCCGCCTTCTGGTTTGCACGTGATGCACAGACAGCAGGGGGCGTGCACCCCCTGATTATTCTCCCATTAGCTCCTTCTAGCCTTAGGCTATGAAAACAGACTACTCAACAGATACAAATGGACCATACAGCCTTTTGGTCACAACCTCAGGATGTAGAGTCGGCAGACTTGGATCTGAATCCCATCCAGTCAGATGGCTGTCCAGTACTAGGCAAGCTACTTCGTAAGGAGTGAAGAAGAGAATGCACAGTGTTGGCACATAGGCAGTGTCCAGTCAGTGCTGGCCTTCCCTGCTACTGCTCTCCACTATGGCCAGGGGCAGCAGGGTGGTGAAGAATTTTTTTTTTTTTTTTTGAGTCTCACTTGGTCACCTTTGGTAGAGTGCTGTGGCGTCATAGCTCACGGAAACCTGAAACTCTTGGGCTTGAGTGGTCCTCTTGTCCGAGCCTCTCAAGCAGCTGTGACTACAGGTGACCACTACAATACCCAGCTATTTTTAGAGTCAGGGTTTTGCTCTTGCTTAGGCTGGTCTCGAACTCCTGAGCTCGGGCAATCCGAGTAAATTTCAAGAATTGTTGGTTCTAAGGAAGACAACCCCAGACTCAGGAGGTGGCAAACTAGGTCCTTTTCTTGGCTTTGCTGCTTCCTAAATATGCAATTGTGTCTATCTCCCCTTAGGAGATGGTAGTGGCAGGCAAACTGGGGTTCAAAGCTAGCTAGCTGTAGTTATTGTAAGACAGAAATCTCCCCATGCTTCTTCTGTAGTAGGGACGAGAACTACCTACCCCATACAGTTGTCCTAAGGTAAGGATTAAGAAATCACAAATGAAAGTAGCACCACCCCAGGCTACTTAATCTTTTTGTTTGTTTTTGTCAGCGGTATCCACAAGTTCTCTTTTCTACTAACGATATCTAACAACCCCATGATTCCAATGAGCCTAATCCCTTACAAAGTAAGGGAAAATGTCTGTACACATTTGGATGTGGCAAAGATTTAGAAAATCCAAATAAAAAGTTTAATTTGCTTAGGGCTCTTTAACTATGGGTCCCATTGTTGGTTTCCTTACTAAATGAACACGCTTAATGTCTGATGTTCAAGATTAAGTACCGCATACTCAAACTTGTTAAAATGTACGTGCTGAATTTATCTTAGAAGGCTTTAATTTTCCTATCCTCGGAACGAAGTATAGTAAAATTAAAGAAGGCAAGGCTTTTGGTCTTAAGAGCCAAAGAAAGTATCTGCATGGTACAAATTTTTCAGTGTAACCTCAGCCCTGAAGTCCCATTTCACTTTGATTCTAACAGCACCTCACGTTTGCCTGATAAAGCACAGGTGCACATGCTGTTATTATGAGAGGCTAGCGCTTCAGATCTTGTCAAATGCTCATCCATTCCATGCTCCTCTGAAGCATGCTCTTGCTCAGGCTGCTCTCAAGCAATCTCCCTGCCTCGGGCTCCCAGAGTGCTAGGATTTACAATGGATGAGCTACCGTACCCAGCCACAGTCCTCAAAAAAAAAAAAAAAAAATTTAATTGTGATAAAAATATACATTAGTCTTTGAAACCAGCGAAATAAAAAATCATCCTAAGGCTTTTGTCTCCTAGTGCCTTAGAGCTCTGTTTTTTAAAAAAAATAAAAGGGGGACGTCTATGGCTCAAAGGAATAGGGCACCAACCCCAAATACCGGAGGTGGCGGGTTCAAACCTGGCCCTGGCCCAAAACTGCAAAATGAATAAATAAATAAAATAAAATAAGGCTGGGCGTGGTGGCTCATGCCTGTAATCTTAGCACTCTGGGAGGCCGAGAAGGGTGGATTGCCTGAGCTCACAGGTTGGAGACCAGCCTGAGCAAGAGCAAAACCCTGTCTCTAATAATATTTGGATGTTATGGTGGGCAGCTATTGTCCCAGCTACTTGGGAGGCTGAAGTTAAAGGATTGCTTGAGCCCAAGAGTTTGAGGTTGTTGTGAGCTGTGACACCATGGCACCGACCCAGGGGAACAAAGTGAGATTCCAACTCAACACCTGGCTATTTTTAGAGATGGGGTCTAGAACTCCTGAGCTCAGGCGATCCCTCGGCCTCCCAGAGGGCTAGGACAGGTGTGAGTCACCTCGCCTGGTCAATATGTGTATAGATTTAATTTAGTCCACCACACTGACGCTTCCTGTCAAACCACTCAGCTCCTCAGAAGAGTCATCCAGCTGTCCTTGTTCTCCTCAGTGGACTCAGTAGCCCCAATTTCTTGTACCTGCTCTGATGGGCTATATTTACATTTTCCCTCATTCTGAAGCAGCTCTACTTTTCCACCAGCTCCGAGAGTTCACAATTCATAGAGAGGGACATCAGTGGGCCACCCATGGGTTCCGTCTCCACTGTGGGGATGGATGGTCAAGCCCCTTTGCCCACCGCCCCCACCCACGGGAGGTTTTCCACTAGGGTAAAGGTCAGATGCTCCTGTGACAGGTCACCTCCAACTGTTCAGTATCTCAGTCACTGGCCACAGACCATGAACACGTCCGTGACACTTCTTCCTGATAACAGAATGACAGCAAGGCAGGCAACACACAGAGAGCCTAGGACCTCTGTGCTTCTGGGAGCCCTGGAGGTGGGTGGGATGGGGCGAGAGGCAGAATGCGGAAGGGAGTTGGTTCCGATCCCAGAGACCAACTCAGGATTCCTTCAGTTCTGCCTTGGGCTGCTCACCCACACGCAGATGCAATGCTCACACTCGCAGCCAAGGAGTGGGTGTGAAGAAAGGGTACGGGTCTTGCTGGGTGGGAAAGAAGGGAGGATCACATATGCATTGGAGATGGCTGGCTGAGAAACAATGGGATGATGGGTACAAGAGGGGGTGGGGGAAGATGGAAGAGAAGAAAGTGACAAACAGAGTCCAGATGCCAATGTTACTGGTATTTATGATATTATAATACATTGCATTCCACATCTAACTGTTAAAATACCACTTAGTTACTTCTCAAGAAGAACAACTTGCTATCTTGAGAAAAAAGATCTGGAAAGGCAGTATGAACGAACGGCTGAAGGTTTGGGCTTTGGAGTTTTAAAGACTTGAATTTGAAGCTCTAATTCATCAGACGTTAACGGTGTGACCCTGGGGAAGTTATTTAACCTCTCTGTTTCCTCATCTATCTATAGTACCTAACCTCACAGGGATTCTGTAAGGATAAAATGTGATATGTCTAAATCACTTTGCACAGAACCAGCCACTCACTAACCAGGCTCATGCCTATAATCCTAATGCTTTGGGAGGATCACTTGAGCCCAGGGGTTCAACGCTAGCCTATGCAACATAGTGAGACCTCGCTTCCACAAAAAATTTAAAAATTACCCAAGTGGAGTGGCATTTGGGGATGCTAGGATGGGAATCACCTGAGCTATGACTGCACTCTAGCTAAGTGAGACCATGTTTTAAAAAAAGTTACCTATTCTTAAGTTTTATAAAACTCAAGAGCCTGTCAAGGTCGCTCCTTCTAGCTTAAATACTCCCTGGAACCTGGAGGGTCCCAAGCAGCAGTGAACACCCAGTCCTGACGCTCTGCATATCTGCCAATGCCTTGCTGCTTGGCTGTTTTTCCCAGGTCAGTTTGCACACAGAGTGTTTGTCAGGCAGAGGGAAAAGACACAAGACAGAGGAGTGAGGAAGTTACACAGGAAGGAGAGGAAAATCCTAGAAGATACACCTCTCCGGGCACACTCACCGAGTCTGGGTCTCGCTGCTGTTCGAGAAAAGCTGAAAATTCCACCAGGCGAAGCTTGGTTGTACCAATGGATCGACCCTGCCAAGCGGGGACCGAGGGAGCTGGGGCTGATGTAGGCTCAAAACCTGAAAGACCAATCATCACCTTTAAACCTGGCTCCTTACCTCCCCTCCGGCCAAGAGTAGGCAGGGGTCTCAGGGTGACCCTGTGTGAAAGGTCAGAGGCCCCTCCTTCAGCATCAGGGGGTAAACTTGGGGAGGCACCAGTGGCATTCTGTCCCAGGATCCCAGAGACAATGACTAGCAAGACAAGCACGATGCATGTGCTCCTCATAAAGCCACTGCCATTAAGGTTAAAGGCCACAGCACGAGGAAATCGAATCCTGAACCAAGGGGCCCAGCTGGGGACCAAGGTAGAAATGGCTAGAGTCAGGGCAAAGGCTTCCAAAGACCTCCTGTGAGCCTCTGACCTACATGTACTTCTCGTGTTTGGTGATGTCCTTTCTTAAGACTGTGGTTACCAAGGCTGGGCGCGGTGGCTCATGCCTATAATCCCGGCACTCTGGGAAGTTGGGGAAGTGGAATGCTTGAGCTCAGGAGTTTGAGACCAGCCTGAGCAATAGCCAGGCATTGTGACGGGAGCCTGTAATCTCAGCTACTGCTATGTTTCCCTGAAAATAAGACACTGTCTTATATTTATTTTTTTCTCAAGAAGACACACTAGGGCTTATTTTTGGGGGAAGTCTTATTTTTATTAAGTATAATACAACAATCTACATTTATTCAAATACAGTTAAGTCATCTTCTTCTGGAATCTGACAGGAGGAGCCAACCTTGTTGGTGGGGCTGGTGCTAGTGATGTGTGAACTCCTTTCCCCTAGCCGTTCACACGTGAGCAATAGGATGCCTGCAACTGCGGTTACCACATGTGTACCAGCGCAAGTGCGAACGGCTTGGAGAAAGGAGCTGTGGCAGATAAAAGGTATTCCAGGCTTCCTTACCGTTCCATCACTAGGTCTTATTATTGGGGTAGGGCTTATATTTAACAAATGCATAGAAATCCTGCCAGGGCTTATATTTTGGGTAGGTCTTATTTTCAGGGAAACACGGTATGGAGGATGAGGCAAGAAGATCACTTAAACCCAGGAGTTTGAGGGTGCTGTGAGCTGTGATGCCACAGCACTCTACCAAGGGGGATAAAGGTTAAGATTCTGTCTCAAAAAAAAAAAAAAAAAAAGACTGTGTGGTCACCAGTCTTTGCAATGCAGAACATTCTCTCAGAATGCTCCCTGGAACTGGAGCAGAGGGCAACGTGAGAGTGACTTTTAGTCTGTGGACTTTTACAGTGAAGAGCAGTGATGTCACACTGTACCCTGAGCATTCAACTGAGTGACCATGAACGTGTGGTGGGGAGGGCTGGGGGGAGCTGGCTAGATTGTGTTTTCTATTTTGGGCTTCCATGGAAGCTCTCCTTAAGGAAAGGGTACTAGGAATTGAAATTCTACTTATCTGAGAAAGGTAAATGAAAACAGATCCGCCTTCAAGACTTGCACTGCCCAATTCTGCCAGTTTATGATGAGAAAGGAGCCAAAACAACCTCCCCTTCTAAGGATGGTTGGTGTCTCAAGTGAAAGTGACTGTGTTTCTTGTTTCTTTAAAAACCTGACTTAAGAGCTCCTGGGAGATGACTGATGGGAATCAGGACCAAGCGGGGACACCCTTGTGGCCCTCCCAATCTGACCCCTGATGTAAGGAGGGCAGGGTGGAGAAGGGGGTATCCATGTCCTGCAAGTCTGGGGAGCTGTGTGGCTGTGTGCAAACAAGCAACTCCCCACATTGGGGACAGAGAGAGGCCCACTCATCAGCTGTGTCCCCGAGAGGGAGTCCCAGGGAAACTCACCTGGAATGGGGGCTGTGACTGCTGGTTGGATGGGGTAGGCCTGCTGCACAAAGGGCTTGACACTGGGGACAGAGAGGTGGACAGAGTCAGAAATTGCATCTGGAGCAGCAGCTATTGCCCAGGCCTGGCCATGGCTTCCCTGTGTGTGCGGGTCCCTCATCACGTGTCCCGTCTGCAGGTGGTAGTACGTTTGTGTCCTCCGATGGACAAGGGCCAGGAGCACACTATGAGATCAACCATCCAGGCCCCTGACGGTGCAATGGGACAAGCTGGACAGATAGATGGCAGCCTATCTTGCGTGAACTCTGACACCTGCCCTTCTCAGTCCCTGCAGAGACTGAGGCCAGCTGTCACCATTCCCAGACAAGGTTTTGGGGGTGGGCTTCATACTCTCCTTCTCCAGGCCAAATAGTTCCAATTATATTGACAATGTATACGCAGGACTTCCTTTCTACTTTTCTCACCAAGTTGCCCTTCTGTTCTGGTTTGCTGAGCTTTCTTCCCTTCTCCCACAGCATCAGCAGCTTTTTACATCAGCCGTCCCTACCACAGGGATAGAATGGCTATGGGATGACCTTCACTGACCTCTCTCAGGCTGGGAAGACCCTAGGCTCTGCCTCCAACCCCGTAAAGGGACAGGGACCCACTTCCTGTTCCCAGCTGTACTGCAACATCTTTAATCTGTCTCTTTTTTTTTTTTTGGCCAGGGCTGGGTTTGAACCCGCCACCTCTGGCATATGGGGCTGGTGCCCTACTCCTTTGAGCCACAGGCGCTGCCCTGTACTGCAACTTCTTAAGGTGAGAGTCAGGTGCTTACGTCCCTCAGACCTGAGAGGTTGGTCTCTCTCCTGCAGCCGGCCTCACTAAGAGATGGATGGCTTCCGGAATCTCAGTGTAATCCTCCTTCCTCTCAAAGCCCAAGACAGCCTGGTTCTGGGAGAACTTGCCCCACGGTGGGTTGTGACCAGCTCTTGTTGTCAGTGCCAACCCCTCCTCAGACTTACTCTTGCGAGGATCCTGGCTGCCCTGTTTGTATCATTCCCGGCCAGAACTGGAAGGCAAAATGCAAAGGCCTCAGGGTTATGAGTTTACTTCAAAGCACAGTTCAGGATGCCTAGGCAGTAAGACCTTACTACAGATAGCAGGTTCCCATCACCCACCAGAATCACCTTTCCCAAGTGGAAATGTCTTGTGTCGGCACTACACGCCAGATCACAACCCACACCCTTGGCCTGGCACCCCAGGGCTCCCCTTAGCTCCTCCCTCCTGAAAATGTCACTGAGGAAAGGGGCAGAGCGACTGCTTTACCCATGCACCTGCCCATTTATCTTCCTCTTTCCCCCTCTGTACTGGAGCCCTCCCTGTGTTATATTATATTCTGCCTCCAGAGCACCAAAGGGGCAGAGGGCAAACCTAGAACAAGACGACCAGAAACAGGCGTGGTGGTGCATGCCTGTGTTCCCAGCTACCTGGGAAGCTAAGGCAGGAGGATCACTTAAGGGCAACAGGGCAAGACCTTCATCGCTTAAAAAAAAAGGTCAGCAAAGCTCCAAGAAGCAACACTTCTTTGCTGGGACCTTCTCTCAGGCTTGTGCTGCCCACTGGAGAGGGAAGCAGCAGCCTTTGGAGTCACACAGCCCTGGCACTGACTCCTGACATCACCATCCATTCAATTATGATCAAGGTACCTAAATTCTTGTTTTACTATTAAATAGCCTCAGGTTTCTTACCTGTAAAATGGCAATAATAATAAGAAGTACTTAAAATTACTATGAGGACTAAATGAGATTATAAAACTACTTCTTGGCCCTTAAACAGGCTTAAAATGAAAATGTTGATATTCCTTTAAGGGCTAATGGTCATAAAGTGACCCTGAAGACAGAAAGAGACCAAGGGCCAGGATAGAAACAGAGAGCAGGAGAGACAGATCACAACCGGAAAGTCACAGAATGGATTCCATATCTTCAGGGACTAAAATTTCTTCTTCCTCTCTTTCTCTCCGCTCCCCTCCTTTCTTATGCCATCTCCTCTTTTCTCTCTTTCAACACTTTACACACAGCCATCAGTTCACCATGAGGTGGTTTCTGGCCTCTCGCACACCTGACCCCAGTGATGACAAGTGCCAGGTGAACACTGGCCCATGCCAACCCTAACCCCAGCCTCTGCCATTACTGCGCTGGGCTCATGACTTACCCCCGGTGCCCCCGGGAAGGTCGGGCGTGGAATCCCAGGCAGCCCCAGCTTGTTGTGAATGGCAGTGGCTGAGACGATCTGGGCTGAGGACATGGCTGCCATGTGCTGCAGGGCCTTATCCTTTGCAGTCTGATCCTTGAAGGTGACAGCGACAATCAACTTAATACAGAATGCACGGCTACCAGACAGGTTAAACAGGCACAGCCACGAGCACATAGACTAAAATACAGAGCCACAAAAGAGGCTGAAAAAGCAAACATGCACGGATAAATAAACACAGCCAGAAGGCTAAAACGTACTCAACCTACTGTAGCTCTGAACATTTACAGAGAATATCCACTGGGGCAGGGTGATTTTTTTTTTTTAATTAAATCCATTTTCTAATAGAAGGTAAAGCCTCTGAGAATAGTGGACAATGTATTTATTTTTTTCAGCTTCTAGAAGGAGATTTCTCCAATTACTTAACACACGGAAGGAGGAAGTGTGGGAAAAGGCTCTACTGTAACTGATGGGAGGGGGTGAGAGAAGAGATGTGGTTGTGGATTGGGGCAGGACCATCCTCAGAGCTTGGGAGCCCTTTCTGCGCGTGTGTTGGCCAGCACGGGGCCACGGTCCCAGTGCTGCTGGGGTGTGAGGCTTGGGAGCTCTGGCAGATATCTCATGAGGAAGGTCAGAAGCAGCAGGATGGGCAGGGACGGGGGAGTGACAGGGCCAAGCAGCATGCTGGCGGGGCGCATGCTTTCTCAAGTATCCCCGCCGTGGGTCTAAGGCTACATGGTTCTTATAAAGCCAAGAACGTAGGGGATGGTAGAGGTCAATGTTTTCCCCCTTTTCCTAAATGGGTCCTTTTCTAGAAAAGCCAAGGCTGGTAACACAGAGCTAGCCAAAAAAGTCTGCCAAGCACAGCTAAAATATAGAATACTCGTTTGGTGAAAATACTTACCATGCTTGTTACCTGGATACAATAATAAACAATTTGTTAAAAGGATTGCGTACAAAGGCAAGGTTATTTTTTCTTCTTAAGTTAAAAAATATGTATGTATACAAACACATAATACTTGTATACAATAAAATGCATAGGAGTTCCCCCCCCACATTTCAGGAAGAATGCATGATCCAGATAGCTATCGAGAAAGGTCATTATCAGCAAGAACACCCAACAATCAGCAATGATCAAAAACCCACTCTGGCTCCACGGAGCTAGTCCTATGGCTTTCCTGGGGACAGATGGAGGGAGGGTCAGACCCCTGGAATGAGATGGGCCCCCTGGGCACAGGCAGGACTCCGGCTAGGGAAGCACAGAAGGGCTTCTGGTTGCTAGTAGAGGATTTAACTCTAGGCCCAGTCATCAAAGCAGCAGGAGCAAAGTGGTGACACAGTGACCCCTTCAGGGTTTAGACAGTCAGGGAAGGTCAAAGGAAGCTTCTGGCTGAGACACTGAGTGAGTACCAGCTGAGAGGGTGCCTCAGTGTTTACAGACTCAACCAAAGGTGATACAGAAACAGGCTGAGGTGCCAAAGGTAAGGCCAGAGGAGGTGAAAAAAAAAAAAATCAAAGCTAACAAAATATCTACTAGGGGCTTCTAGGAAAGATCTACTAGCTGTTTCCAAGGGACAGACACTGCTTTCACCCATTACTGCTTGGAGCACCCCAAAAAAACTTCTGTTAAGCCTGGACAAAAAGAGAAGTGAGAGAGAGAGAAAAAAAAAGAAAAGAGAAAAGGAAAAAAGAAAGAAAAAGGAAAAAAAGGAAGAAAAGGAAAAAGAGACTAACACTTGCATTAATTTGTATGTATTTCTCTGGCCCATAACTGAAAAGTCAACCATCCTCAAGCTAACAGCTTTTCAGGGACCCACCCGGCCACTACAACACCTGTGACTGACCCTGCTGCAGCCATCTGACAGCAAGGGCCTTGGAAGCTGCAGGGTGTTCCTGGCTCTGCGCAGTGTGGCAAGGCAGCCCTCACTGTGATTCTTTTGCTACTGCACAGCGTTCTTCCGCCTTGAGCCTCTGTTTGCTCCCTGTCAAACGTCCTAACCTAAAGCTAGCTTCTGCAGGCAACCTTTCTTCTTTTGTTTAAGATCTGAAACATTTCAAATACGGAGGATGTCAGAAAAAAGACAAATCGTGAAGGAGATGGGATTTTGTAATAAGCTGACTGGGAATGTGCCCATGTCTCAAAGCTGAACTGAGCCCAACACATACAGATCTCACGGCAGCCGGACCACTCTGAGCTGGCCCCACAGCTTCTCCTTCTCCTGTCCCCTCAGAGAGCAATCTACGAACGGAAAGCATGGCTCTTGTCACACGTACTCTATTCACTGCCAAGAATTCCCCAACATCAACACAAATTCACTGGCTTCTCTTTGGACTCTGGCCCCCAGCCTAACGAGAAGTTATAAATGCTCTCAAGGTGATCTCCAAAACTGAAGTAATGGCATAGGTATAACCACAGGCGTCTTCCTCAGGACAGAACAAGCCTTACGACTGCTTTGGGACCCAGGTGAGGGGGGGGCTTGGAAAATGGCAGCCCAGACTTCTTGCCTGCCTGGCAGACACATGTGAGGAGTAACTACAGAAGAGATTGTGGGCCTGGCTCCATTCCAACAGATCACCACGGGGCCTCTTGCAGACCTGAAAGTTGTGTTTCTGAAATGCTGGTGACAGGGCAGTCCTGCTTGCCCAAACACAGAAGCCATCTGTGCACCCTCAGGTAGGGCAACCCATGAATCCAAAGTGCAGGTCCAAATGGAGATGAGTTCCTTGCATCTCCACAACCCACTTCATTCTGTTAAAAGCTACTGGAAATGTTTCCCTTTGCTGGGCTTATTGGAAAGTTCTTAAAGTCATGAAGGTTGATGTTTTTCTTTTTTTAAAAAAATCAGTCAAGGCCGGGCAAGGTGGCTCACACCTGTAATTCCAGCATTCCTGGAGGCCAAGGCAGGACGATCCCGTGAGCTCAGGAGTTCGAGACCAGCCTCAGAATAAAAATAAGACTCATCTTTACTAATAACAGAAAAAAACTATCCAGGCCTTGTGGTGGGCACCTGTAGTGCCAGTGACCCGTGAGGATGAGGAAGGAGGATCACTTGATCCTAGGAGTTGGAGGTGGTGGGACTTTGAGGTTGCTGTGAGCTAGGCTGACACCATGGTACTCTGCCTGGGAAAGGGAGTGAGATTCTGTCTCCAAAAAAAGAAAAATCAGTCAACATGGGAAAGGAGAATGGTAACTATCTCTGTCTCTTATGTCACACACCTTAAAAATACCATCTTTTTCTCTACTAAATAATGTAAGGTCTGATTTTCTTTTTACCAGAACTCCACCCGGTAACCTACATGAAAACAAGAGTTCAAAAGCAGTACAACATATCAACTGCTTTTATCGTACCAACTGGCTGGATGACCATAAAAGGCTGACCTGCCGGGCAGCTGGGAGACCTGGTTCCAGATCTGCTTGCCTGACATTAATGAGCTGTGTTATGCTGGACAAATCATTTAACACCTTCCACTTTTCCTCATCTACAAAATAAAGAGTCGTACTTTATTCTCTAATTTATGTCCTTCTACTGTTAGAAGTATTTGTAGCTATGAGGACAAGTTCCAACATAAATAAATAGACCTTAATACATACAGCGAAAACAAAACAAAAGAAAACAAAACCCTACTCCGTGAGAAGATAGTAGCATGTAAAAATTTGGGCAGCTCTTGGCTGCCTGCTCTAGAGAGAAAGCCAAGTTTGGGAGGAAATTTCATCTCAAGTAGAGGTTCTTTCTGCACTTGACCTACCTATTTAAGAACAGGCAATTTTCTGCAAATGGACTAAATTGTCTACATCAGTGATGTCCTATCTTTTGCGTTAGAGCTCTGACTGCTCAAATAATTTTATAATATCTCCCCCTTTATCTATGATATATATTTGAAAATTAAAAAGGATTAAAATTTTTTGTTCGAAATCTAAAGTAACCCTGGAAACAATAAGCACCACCAGGAATATCTTGAAATTGGAACCAAGAGCCGCCTGCAGACCCACTTATCCTGAGATGGGAGTGCAGAAGGGTGCCGAGCTAAGAGATTTCAATGGAAGGGTCTCTAAATTGTCATTTTCAGTCAGGAGATACATGCCTGGCTTTGAAAAAATTATAACCCTAAGTGTCAGACCTGAGTAAATTGCTCCTCTCTGTCACTTTGGTCTGATATCCTGGACATTGACACAACTCACTTTATCCTTTCCCACTCACCCTCCACTCTAAAGAGGAGGGGGATAATTTATGCAAACCAGTGGAGATTAAATAGATTTTAAAACATAGGCTGCCCTTGTACATGGTATTAATTCTATCCTAAGGTATTTTTCGCACCAATATTTCTGAGATGTGCGTGAGATTTACAAAGAATGAGCACACCATTCTACCTGGAAAAACTATCAATACTAGATTATGGTCTCTGGTGTCTCGGGTCACAGGGAACACTCTGAGTGTGTGCAGATGTACATACAAGCACAAATAAGAAAAATGTGTCCCAGATAAAAGCCTGGACAAGTTCACTTTGACTTCTTACTAATTTTAAGTTCCTCTATCCCTAAGATTACATACCAAGAATAAGGCTACCAAACGCTGCATGTTTAGGAAGTGGGGGAAGAAAAGGAAAGCTCCCTTTCCCATTAAGCCCTAACACAAGCTTATAAGCTGCAAGGTGGAAAACATTTATGGAGCAGGAACTGTGGGACTATAGACGTTGACAGGGAGGGTGATGGGTGCTAAGAACAAATGGCCCACTGACTTCAGAATGGGGGCAGACAAAGCACTGTGACTTGGGGTGCGTGTCTCATTACCTACTCTGATTTCTTTACTGTCCAATTTCTGGAACACCACCCCATCAGTGGTCTCACTGCGTCTGCCACTCACTCTCTAGCAGACTGTGTCATGCATAAATTCCTCTTGCCGAAGCCTTTTAAATTGTTGTGGTTACTAAGTAAACAGGCTTTCATATTTTAGGAAGCAGGACAAGGTTGCTGCTATAACTCTCGGTTCTGCTGACTGCCGCCTTTTTTGGATAAAATGGACCAATGTTTGGAAAATGTCTACATGTAATATATATGAAAAGAAGGCAGCAATATCGTAAATGCACGTGGCTGGAGTGGTATACTCTTCACACTCACGGACATTTCAGAGGATCAATCCAGATATTATAGTCTTATCCTCTCCTCTTCCTCTAGACATTATAGGAGTCTTATTCCCCACTTCCTCTTGCTTTACCAGCTTTTGGTTATTTGCAAAATCAATTATCTCATATTCCTTACGCATTACCATAAACAGATCTTAAAGGTAATATAAAAAGGTCAACTGCTTGCATATACTCCTTACATTTCATATATGGAATCTGAATGAACAACATTATCAATCAATATATTCCAAACAGTTTATTCATGAGTTATTATTTCAGAATTGAAAGCTAAAATTCCAATCCAATTTATTCATATAGAAGTCCACAAAATACACTGGGAAATTATATGTAAAGTCAAAACAGGACCATGGATTCAAAAACTTTCAATAGCTACTAAATGTTTTCCACTGAAATACTGTTCCCAGTAAAATAAAAATATAGGGCAAGGAAGGAAAGATAGCAACTTGCTTGCAAAATCACTTTTTCAGAAAAAGACATAACACGAAATACTTTCCTAAGAAGTAATTTTGCAGCTGTTGTTTCTAATCTTGCACTATGTGGATTCACATGACCCCGGCAATTATGATCCGTACCCGTGGAATAGATAAATATCACAAAACTATACGATGGTTTTGGAGAAAGGATGGAGGGCACTTGAATTTTTTCTAGCTGTGATCTCTCATTTGCTTATTATTAGAGACGGCAGGAGTAAATACAAAAGGGGGCTATTTCGGTCAGGCAACAGCTAATGCCGAGGAGAGAAGGCACATTCATTCTTCTCCTCACTTGCTGCCT